GCCACTTTCAGAGAGTGTGTTGAAAGGTTAACTTGACTCATAAATGTCAGAGAAAACTTTAACCTACAAAGCCAGGCATTAAAATTTCATGGCAGTGGTGTTGGGAGACAGCAGGGTGGTTGCAATGGTATGGAGCAGAGGCAGCACTTGGGATCATTAGGGAGGAATTCAGGGGGCTTGGGAAACCCGTGTTCTACACACAGGCAAGATGCTGCCATCCTGTATCCTGGATGTGCCACCACTGCTGCCTTGTCCCTGTTATGTTTCCATATTTCATGAGCAAATGACAAGGCAACCTTGCACACTGCCACAGCACCCCCTCCTCCAGCTTCCCAGCCTGACTGCTCCCAAAGACACTGCCAGCAACCATGGAGGGGCTGATCCCACTTCCTGTCTGGCACTCAGTATTATTTACAATTTTTTAAACCACACTCACAGAAACACCAGAAGAAGAACAGCAGAACAGAGTGGGCAGCAAAAGTGATGCTTCTAAGTTATTTGCTTCACGGGACTGCCTTGTGCCACGTGCCAGGAATGCTGCAGTCTTCTGAGCTTTTGGGGGCCTTTTTGGGGGCATTGCTGTACACCTCGTTCTGCCACAGAAAAAATTACAGCTCATCTCTTTCTGTTGCTGTTCCCTAAATGAAAGTCAGGTGAGCTTCTGCCCCGAGGGCTATTGCTGCTGCTGGTTTGAAACCACTGCTGTCAAGAGTCCTGCCCTGCACGGAGCCACCCTGACCAGGGCACTGGGCAGCTGGACACACCACTGGCTGCAGAGGGATCCTACCCCTGAGCCTCTCCCTTCAGCCAAACAGCAAGGAAAACAGCCTGTTAGCAATACTGCACATCTCACCTCCATTCAGTCCTCTTAGCAGGGCCTGCCATGGTTTCTCCTCAACTTGGAGGTTCACCCAAGTGCAGAAAGCACTAAGGAAGAAGCATCCAGGCTTGCAAGACAAGGAGAAATAACACACACACCTGTAGGATCATGCATTTGGAGCCTGTCATAACAAATCAAAATCAGGGCAGGCATGAAGGATAGGAAGATAACCTTATTTCTCACAGCACCTAAGTCTGTGGGCCTGTTGCTTACGCTGCTGCTCTCACCTTCCTCACACAGGCTCTGTCCTGTCTCCAAGCTCCCATTTCCTCTGTGTTCACCTTCCCCTCACCTTGCTGCTCCCCCCTGGCTGGATGCAACTCTAGTAAGGGTCCCTGCCTCGCATCCACTACCCCTGTGCCCAGAGGAGCATTACAGAGCACATGACACAACCTTCAGCTGTGTTCATTTCTTTCCAAGACTGATAAATGGCCCCAAATTTGGGAACAGTAACATACACACCCCTGGCACCCCAGATACTCAGCTGCAAAATTCAGACCCTTTTTTATCCCAAGCGGAGCTCACACAATTTCATCCCTGCTTTGTTTCAAGCACAGCAAAACCAACATTCCTTCCCATCTCCCATTCAGACACAGCTCCACTATTTTCACTGGAACTTTTTTTTATTTTTTTTAATTCACCCCGAGGTAAAAAGTCATCATGGAATGGAAAATTTCAGCTCAAAAGAAATGTAGAATGTGGCAAAATTACAAGCTAATGGAAACAGAATCTGAACTAGGGGGGTGCTGGACAAGTCTAACTAAGGACAGCACCAGCAGCTCCATCTCTAAGAGCATATTTTGACCCACTACACAATTAGACACAATTCCACAAACAGGAATTATGTAAACCACGCTGCATATATAATTTGCAAAAGCCCCAGCCATTCACTGGATACATCTTTCCACCCACATGGATCCAGTTACAGAATCTGCACCCAAACTCTCTGGGAAAACCAGAAAAGAAAGGGATAAGCCAAGATTCACTGTGAGCACACTCTGACTTAGCCCTGTTGGGATCAGCATCACAAACCTGCTCGGTTCTTCACAGGCTGCTCTGAATATCTTAAAAAAATTCTCTATTCCCTCAAGTCTGGATCTTTATCTTGCCTATACTTTTCTATAGAACAAAGTCTGTTACCTGCTCACCTCTTCAAAACAGGCTGCTTAGTGGGAAAGGTAAATCTGACATACAAGGATGTTGTAAATACACAGTAAAAAAAAAACCCAAAACCAACAGAGGAACTGGTCAAGCTGAGTAATGCAATGAGAGTGAGCTGCTTCTCTGCCTGGAAGACTCATTGACCTGCCTGTGAAGCCTATGAAACAGCACTTTCAAAGACAGCACCCCCATTGTATGGTTTGGGTTATTTTTTCATGCCAGGTGCATTTTTAACAGACTAATATAAGCACTGAAGCTTCTTAATACACTCTTGTACCATTCTGGCACTTTGCAATCTATTTCCCTCTACATGTGACCAGTGATGTTTTTAGGAAGCCCCTATGAAGAAGCATCCTTTGGTGGCATTTCATACAGCACAATGAAGACCTGAAATGTTACATATTATTGTTTAGCACTATGGATAGTGATTACAACAGGAAGCCTGAGTATATTTCACCTCCAGACCTGCTGCCATCCTGCTGTGTGGAATAAAGTCTGTTCCCAGCAAACCCTCCAAGGCTTTGTGTTGTGAATAGTGAAACAGATGGTATACACAACTTCACAGGAAGCACAGAAATTCACCTATGTCCTACAAAACATTTAGCTTTTCACCAGGTAAATACAGCTTTGTATCCTGTCCACTTGTTTAAAGAGAAAAGCTGCACCAGTGCTCCCAAAGAACAGGAACTTCACTTCTTCAGACCACACTGCATTCAGTGTGATGGAGCAGCAGAAATCCTTCTTATGAACACCATCCTGCTAGAAAAGCCTCTTCTCAGCAGTCTGCTAAGATAGCTCCCTAATTTCTCATCATCTTTCACCAATTATTCCATAAACCTTTCAAGTCAAAGCCAAGAGGAATGCTCTTTTATTTTTTTTTTCAAAGTGTATTTTCACAGCAGTGGGAAAGTCCTCTCTTCAGTGCTTTACTAAGCTGTCATCCAAGATTAGAAGCCTATAATAAAAATAAGCCATCAGAGGTGCCAGTACAGCATACTGCTGTCCTGCAAGTCTACTATTTTGGAAAATCCTAAACTTTTTGCATTTGCTTACACTCAGTCCTCACTGCTTACAAATCCAACACAACATATCTTGTGAGGGTGAATCCCCTCAGTTCAATCAAATCACAAAACAAGTGGCAAATGACAAAGTATACTTTAAAAGTTATGTTTTTTGCACGTTTATGGATTAGAAAAGAATATCTTTTGACCAAGAAAGAAGAAAAAAGCTCACATATCAGAGGAAAATAATCTAAACTTCAATCACATCTAAAGCTCTGTTAGCAGGTTTGTCGTACGATCCTTTTGAATTTCTTGTACACTCAGCAACTAGATCTGATAGTAACATCAAACCAGAAAGGCAGCTTTTGAAAATCCAGGCTCAGCTGATAGAGCTCTTTTAAGTCAAGTTCAAAGTAAATTTTGAAGATGAGATAGCAAACTACACCTGAGTGTTTATGACATTCAATGGGAGAAATATGCAGCTCCTCACTGCAGTGCACCCTGGATACTCCTTCCTAACTCTCATCTTCACTGCTTTGCTTCCCCCCCTCCAAAATTAGCAGGGCAAAATTAAGAGAATCAAGTAACTCATGGTAAGTTTAAAGCAAAGGTAAGAGAGTTTTACTTTGACATGCTAGAGTAAGCAATATGTAACACAAAAATCAAAGCCAGAAACACCCTGACTCGCTGATCAGCTTTTTATCCTCGCTGGAAACTCCACAAAGCCCCACACATCTTGCTCAGATGGACACAGTACAACTCCCCTGTGAGCTCTGTGCTTTCATCCATGAGCAAAACCTATTTCACCTCACTGGCATTCATGTAATGCTGCAAATTCTTACCCTGCAGGCCACTACCCATCTCCTTAAGAGCAGATAAACACTGGAACTCTTTAAGAGATATGCCTTAAGATATTCTTCCTAAAATAACACTCTGTTCTGCTTCTGCTGCTGATGGTAAAACTTTCATGAGTGTCAGTTTGCATGAAAGAATTACCAGACTCCACACCAAAAAAGACAGACCTTGTTTGTCAGCACTTGATCTCTATCATCAGCAACTTACACTACGTGAGCTGCATTAGAAAATGGTACCTATAGATTTTTTTTTTTCTGCTGGAAAATTGAATAAACAGAAGGTGAAAGTCGCCCGTGCTGTGACACTGTAACAAACTTAATAAAAAGTGGTTTTCAGTAAACGTGCCTTATTACCACACATCAATGGAAGAAAAGCTGCTTAACAGTTTTCCCAAAACTGTAAGAAATACTCCAACAATGACTTTTAAATTTTCCATAGGATGATAGTCACTATTATGGGATATTGTCCACTTTTACTCCCCCTGAGTGAAGAAGCAACTCTGATCTCTGCCTTCCTCTGAGAACCAAGCCAAAGCCCGACCTGGGGAAGGATGAAGGCCTGGAAGTGGAGGATGCTGAGTTTTATCCAAACTGGCCCAGTGCTCCCCCAGCCAGCCCAGGAAGAGCACTGGTGGGGGTTTGTGTCCACAGTCTTGGGCACTGAAACTGGCACTGCTAGGAGAGGGAAGGGAGGAAAGTTACAGCACCAGTCTCTGCATTCCAGCTCTTTCTGTGGCCAGAGACCTCCAGAAAGCAGCACATTTAACAGAGCACAAGCCTTTTCTAAAGACAGTATGAACTGAGGCTGTATTTCACATTGGGACTGACTAGATAATTTTAGTAGAAATTAGGATAAAAGGAGACAAACTGGTAATGAAACAAAAACCCTGTTCGCAGGACTGCAGGTGACTTTCAACCAGGAACCGGTATATTCCTTGCCAATGTTTCAACATCACTGTGACTGTGTTTAGAGTAATCATAGAGGACAAGGCAACTAGCACTGGATTTCTTCATGTCTGAATGCTGCAAAAAATGAAGAAAAATTCTATATTCTACCTTAACCATCTGTCAGCTTTTATAGAAAAACTGGATCATGCTCCTTACCTTCACAAATTCTGTCCAGCCGCTGCCGCTTGACTTTGTGTTTATCCACAAGTGCCATTCTTGATGGTATTCTCTAACTTTCTGGCTCAAAAAGCAAAGCAGTCCCCCGGGAGCTTAGGAAAATTCACAGGGCTCGGCGTGCATGCCGCCACTGTCGATCCTGCAGGGAAACAAAAGGATTCATCAGGATTTCCAGCACTACCAGGTGAGACCTGCACATCGCCAACAGGACAACAGGTTCCTTAGAAGGACAGCTGTGATTTTTAGTGCTTCCAAACCCCAGCATCCCACCGGTCACACATCTTATGCTGCAAATCAAGTGTATAACCCCTTTATTTTCCCTGCGATTGGAAAAAACCAGCACTGAACACAAGGGGTTCCGAAGCGCTGTACGGCCTCCCCAGTTTTATTTCTGTCTTAAACATCTATTCCTAGCAGATAAAAATCCATTAAGCTATTTTGTGGGCTTAGTGACACTGAAGGATTGTTACAGAGTATATAAAAAGGGGAAAGTAGCTTTTGCTTTTCCAGTATTTACACACAAACCACTTTCACGTCTCATTTAAGCCTTGCCCTGTAAAAGTCATCAATGGACCTTGAATTTGCAACCAGCCCCTGATACATATTCCAGCTGTTGCCGTAGCCTGTCCTCACCTTCATACTTGAAGGGCTAACATTAAACTTTGGGTGCTAGAGCTGCCCTTTCTAGCAAACACTTTTAAATGCTGATGACATAAAACAATCCTTAGAACTCATGTGTGGCTGATTGGTAAGGAATGCTCTGCAAAAGTACAACAGCCACAAGCTTTTCTGCATCCTTTTCTGCATACAGAGGAAGACCCTGAATCTCAGGGTCTGATGCTTTTGTTCCTCTGGAGAGCCAAAGGTTTGTTTAATCCTAGAATACTCTGACCTGAGCTCAGCCTGCAGACCCTGATCATGGCCCTTCTACCCAACAGCTTCATTGTGAAACCCAGGTAGGAGCTTTTCAAAGCAATTTCCACATCAGTACTTATGAGTGAAGTCACACAAGAAAAGACCTCATGCTGATAACTGAATTTGAACAATTCCACACTACATGCACTCATTTTTTACCCAGTTAAGATATACTACCAGTAATTCAATATCCTCTTTTATATTTTAAGGTGAAGACAGATGACTTTGATGCAAGCTACAAACCCTCCAGGGACAAATCCTGCTCAAGAGGCTCCTTCCTTCCCCAGCTATCGACCACCCCTTTAAGCCTACTGAAAGATGCCAAAAGAGCAGAGTTGGTGGAAAGTTGTGATTTCCAGAAAGAAAGCCCAACACCACCATGTTTTTGGAGGCCTGGCAAGGAGGGAAGGGGAAGAGGGAGACAGGCATGAGTGCAACCACAGCAAGAAATCCTCTCCTGAGTAGCCAATCTGTACCATGCTGCAAAATCTCAACCACTCTGCCTACAAAGTACGAGAATCACAGAATGATAGGGGGTGGAAGGGACCTCTGGAGATCATCAAGTCCAACACCCCTGACACAGCAGGACCACCAGAGAATCTAGGGCAGGTTAGAAAGGGATTAAAAAAAAAAAATAATTTAAAAAATTCTGACGAGTCAGCAATAACCACAAACTTGGTATGACCCATTCAAACTGACCTGCAAACAGCTCCTCTTTTGCAGGTGAATTTTCACACTGCATTATTTGCAACCAAAATGCTAATGACAAACTAAAAACCCGCCAGGTTATTCACATAATGTAGGACAGATGAGAATAAGACACCACGAACCAGGAAAATCCATGCTGATGTCCAGAAGTTGACCTTGGGCAAGGTCTGTAACCTCAACTTCTGCTTCCCCTTCTGCAGAGCAGCGACAGTAACACTTAACCCATCCTCTCAAAACCCTTCAGGTTCTTCATATTTACCTAGTCCAGTCAGGTGTTTCCACCTTGCACCTTCTCCCTCTGCAACTGCTCACAGCTCTCCTAAAATCATGCCAGTGAAGCAATTAATTCCCAGAAAACCCAGTTAACAAAGGCAATAGGAGAGGCTGAGCACGAGAGGGGTAAAGGCTCTAACAAAGCTGCTGCATACCAGGATGACAATTTCATGGAGATTATTGTTATTATTATAAATGGTTATCAATTATGCATCACATTGATAGTTAATTTATAAAAGGAAAAGGCTTGTGTTGGTACAACTGAATTCTGACTAAGGGAAGACAGGCGATTTCCTGGTAGTTAATGGCCAATTTCCCAGCAGCACAACTGCAGCATAATCTCTGAGATTTATAGCAATAATTAATTGATTTTTTTTAAACATAGGGATGCTAAAGAGCACGATTCCCACTCACATTAATAATTAATGCAGCATTTTAAAAGAAGCAGAAAACTTCCATTCCAGAGGCAGAAGATTGCTACAGTGAAAAATATTTCTTACAACAAAAATTAGACTGTTAGAGTAGCTGAAGCCAGAGTAGTTAACAGCATTTCCATGGACAACATTTAGACCTATACACATGGATTTTACCTCCATTACATTCCATTCCACTTCCAGGGACAAACACCAGGTTATAAAAAAGTCATGTCAGGAGAGAGTAAGTTAGCATTTTGTTCTGAAAATGCTCAAGTAGTTCATTATGTTGAAGCTGCAATTCTTTCCTCCTCTCCCCCCCGAACAAAATCAATATGCAAAGTGTATTTAGTTTTGACAGAGGGTATTTCCTGATGGATGAATGCTTCCATTAAAGTTCTTTTCTCCTGCCATCTTGATTCCCTGCATTACTCCCTGAAGAAAAAATTTCTACACAAAAAACTAATAACAATCAGAGAAATTACTGTTCAGATTACCAGAATCCCACACAATTTAATGTAAGGCCCACAAATGAACTCCTTCCCCATGTTAACTATTCCATCTTTGTCTGACAGGTGTCCATGATATCACCCAGCAATAAAAGCCCAACTCAGAAGACTTATTAAAAACGTGGCAAGAACTGTTGAGCAGAATTTGGCAGGGATGGATAAAATGGACAAAAGCAGATGTGCAGGGCACAGAAACAAGCACATACACCCCAGCCTTCATATGAAGCTGTAATTAAGAAAGTGGCTCTTCCACGTGTGAGACAGAGGACGCAATTAGTTGTGCACCCAACTTCAATCTATCCTCAATGATTTCTACATCCAATCCCATCTCAAAACAATTGCAGGGCTAAATGTCCCCTACAATAAAATAAACACAATCAGGCTAGGCAGAACAAAAATCACGGTCAGCAATTAAAATAACAGAAAACCTCATTGTATAAGGAAATCTGAGGGAGAAAAGTGCCTTCACAAAAAATGGACTTCATCTTCAGCAAGATTAGGAAACAAGTGAAGTGATTTACATACAGTAATTGCATGGCCATGTTAGCCTCCAACAGTGTCATTCAAAATGTAAATTTTCTTGAAAACCCTCAGACAGGATGATAGCCCAGCAGTTATTTAGTTATTTATTTATTTAAAGAAGGAAGGGACTTAAATACAACGTTTTAGGAAAAAAAGCAATCCTGAAGTAACATCTTTAAATAGCTTCTTAACATTGCCCATTAAATACCACAATCCATGGGCAAGAAAATGAGAGCAGAGAAACCTGTACTCGGGCTTATTTTTCTTCCTTGTGATGGAAAACAGAAGGAAAGAAAAGGTGATTTTCCAAAATCACATGCACTATTAGACAAAAATAAGAGAGGAGTGACTTGATGAAGAACGCGTTGTCTTCTAAGCTCTCTCTCAACTAGGGCATTGTCTCTTCACAGCACACGGAGGTGGCACAGGAGCACAAACCTAACTTAGAGCACCCATTGTAGGCACCACCATCCAACCAGGGAGGTACCCACCCAGCAGGTGACTAACACACCACTTCTGTCAGCGAATACACAGTCCTAGGTGAAGTGGGGCTCCTCTAACTCCAAAAATAAGCATCTTTCTAAACAATCCAAAAAAAGCTCATGCACACTCCCAGACCCTTCCTGGAGTCAGAAACCTGTTGCTTACAATTTCCAAGTATATTTTCTATAAAATCTGGCATCAACAAAATGGAGATTTCCTAGGAAACTCCTAGCTCTGTGAGCTGCAGAAGCTCCCACTTCCCAACTGCAAAGGAAAATTTCTGTCCTTCCTCACATCTAAACCAGTTTTCCCCATGTTCAGCTCCTTACTTAAACAAGGGACAATCTAGTCCAAATGTTTTGATGGTATCATCGGACATTTCCTAAACTCTCAGGAAAGGAGAGGTTCCTGGAGAAGGTGTTGTGATACTGCAGGACACCAGTCCTCTCAGTTGGAAGCAGCCTGGGATGACCGAGTGGTCCATAACCACGAAGTTAACACCTGCTGATGCCGAGGGCAGCTCTCCCTGCAGCCTCCTCTGTATGAAGGTCCACTTTTCCAAAATTAGAAAACTGCTTTGAGATTTCAAGGCAGGAACAGCCCTCAGAGTTGTGAATTGTTCAAGCCCTGCTGTGTTCACTGCTCTGAACTAGCTGGCCATTTCCACGGCTCATCATTTCAGACGTCGGCAGCTGCCGCGGGAAGGGCAGGAGGGGGCTGAGAAGCAGAGTTCAGCTTCAACAAGAAAGGAAATGCAGAGAAAAGAAAGAAGGAGACACACAGAGATAATGACAGGGGAGGGAAGCGGACAAAGGAGATGGTACAATGCAGGAGGAACACACTGAGAACACTGTGTCATCCTTCCTCCCTGTGCTGGCGGCATCTCCTTAAGTGGGATGCCCTGCTCAGCCCCCATCACCTTCTCCTCTCTCTAAAGCCCTGGCACGACTGCAGGGGAGGAGGGAAGCACATGGAACAGAAGGGACAGGCAACACCACCCTTCTTGAGATCCTTTTTTTTGGAAGTTTTCTTTTAAACAACAATACAACAACACGGGGAGCTCACAGTGTCAAGCCACCATTAAACCCGATAGCCCGGCAGGAACCAAAACTGGATTAAACATTTATACAGGCAGTGAGAACAAACATAGATTTTCATTAGCCAAACTAAAAAATCGTTTTATTTTTTTGAGTTTCGTTTGTGTTTGTTTTTTT